CTGGAGGCTGTGGCCGTAATAAAATGGCTATGTCCATAATAAAAAGGAATGACTCGTTGAATATGGGCAAAACAGGCAAATATTCTCACCGAGAAACCATGCAGATCTATTTTAGATTTTGTTTAAACTAAGACAATTATCTTGAAACCAACTGTATCAAGATGGCGCACTTGCTTAAATCATGTGTGGGATCCTACGCTGGTGCACCTTTGACTGGTTAGCAATTTCCGTGCTGCTCCTGGCCACGGTATTAATGTAAGCAATGGGAATTTTCCGGTTATCGACAACACTACAGATTCAGCTGCCAATTCTTAAGATATCAGTGGAGATGATAGGGAAAATGACATTTAGGTTGAAAAACAGAATATGTATAGCCCCTCTCCAGGGAGAAAGTCATTCATTCTTTCTCACATGAGGGAAGGGAAAAAAGGATCCAACTTTCCGGTCAATAAAATCTACTTACAATGAATGGAAAAGATTCTGTACCTGTGGTATCTCTCAGGGATCAAGTGGAAGTAACTAGATAGAATAAGAGTTGCTCTTCCCTTACTGATAAGGGACGTTTTTGCAGTAGGCAAGATTGTAATAAAATAAAGTAAGGCAAAATGAAGATTAGCCGATCAACACGGAAAGCATATATTAGCACGTCACACACTTTTAACAACTGCCAGGCTCCAGATTTGGTATTCCAATAGACCTAGGAGTGGATGTTTAAATTCTCGTTATGTGGCTTAAGTAGGATCAATTTCTTCTGTGCTCCCTTGGCCCTGTTTTTTCTTTTCTTCTTCTTTTTTTTTTTTTTTTTCCCCATATCATTGGTGGTTTCTCTGAGCTCCTTGAGGTTCCCGACACGCATTTCTTTAGATGGGAATACTGTTTTCCCAGTGACAGGCAGCATCTGGCCCTAACAAAGACTACATGCCCTTCAGTACAGTTGTGGACATCCTATCGTGCTTGTAAAAGCTCTTCAATGCTCTGTAGCTCTGCCCAAGTACAGTAGAAGATGAATGCCAAGGAGTGATTCTGGAGCATTTTCTGCACAGTCCCAGCATCTATAAATCTGTCAAAGGCAGAGTTTTTGGCCTGCTTCATGAGGACCTCCTTGGGTTGGGAGGAGTCCTCAGACCAAAGGTAAGCCAGGGCATTATCCAGTTTAACCTCCAATTTAAAAACTAAGCTTGAAGGGAATCTCTGCTCTCAATGACTAATGGCTGAGTACTCATGAAGAAACCACTATTGGCAAGTATTACAGATCTCGATTTGTCACAGGCAGGTGATGAAGACTCTCAAACTGGAGGAAGAGAGACATGCTTGATCTGCTTATTTGGATCTCTTTTTTGGAGAAGAATTTTTGGCACTGGTGTCAGGAACCTGCATAGATAAAACCAGGAGCCCTTTGAATAGAGCACTGAAATGAGTCTTGGTGTCTTTTTTTTTGTCAGAGCCTGAAAGGGAATGAGAGGAGAATTCTCAGACAGTTCTTTCAAGGAAATCTCAAGTCAATCCTTTTCCTAGCAGTCAGAATTTTCCCATTCCACATTGAGAAGGATGGCATGGTTTTGGCAGAGAACAAAGAGGTCCATAGTAATGAATATGGACTTACGCCCAGACAACTGATGGAGCCATATACTCTCTTTCAGCTCAAGAGTCTGGATTTATGTTAATATCTAAAACTGATTTATGTAGAAGATAGCTCTTGGAGTACAGAAATTTGCTGAGAACAAGTGACGCCTCAAGAATGGAGTGACGCTGGGCCGAAGAGCTCCAGGAAGCCCCATTCACATTGCATTGTACCTGAAGGGCACCCTCTGGGGTTGTGTAACACAGATAGTCTCCCAAGGTTCCAGGCACTTCCGTTATCTGATGCAATGACAACTTTGCCAATACTCAGCTTTTCAAAGGAAGGAAAATTGTTATAGGTAAGAGTATCGAGGAAACAGGCATCAAGAAGTGGTGACCTAGCTCAAGGGTGAGATTAGACTATGTGACCACATCTGTCTCCAAAAACGACTGTGTGGATTTGTCACCCCATTCTACTTGTTTTCTTCCTACCATCATCTTTTTATTCCCAATGTAGCCAAATCCTGCATCTGACCTTTGAACGTTGGAGTTTCCCAGGGCACTTGGTTCTCTTTTCTTTTCACTGGCCCTGTCATCCAGTTCCATGCTCTCAAGTAA